ATGTCTACAATTTTTCTGCTGCTTGTAAGGCTTTTTTTCAATTTCATATTTAAGCAAATATGTTTGGAAGTTTTTACGTTACCATTGTAAAACATGTAAATTCAATTTTGAGATAAAGAGTTGACTTAGAGTTTAAAACTATCGCAATTTCGACGTTTGCGATTATAACAGTTATTTACAATAACAGAACCTATGAAATCTGACACAATTAGAGGTATTGAACATTCATCCCGTATTAACTGTTTCGCAACGGGTGCCGTGTATATACGGCAGTCACTTGGTGCATCATAGCGGCTGACGCCGTATATATACGGCAGCCACTTTATAATCCACAGAAGCTGTCGCCAACAATATGCGGGGTGTATCACAATTATATTATTATTTTATTTCAATAACGAATTCACAAAATAAAACTATAAATACATTGGTGGCGAAGTATGGCTCACTTGCGTTTTCGCGAAAGGGTAAAGATTTTAAAAAATATTCTTGTTTCTCTAAGGAATATTTTTAAGAAAATAATATGTAAAAAATATTTTAAGAAGTAATATTAATTTTGGGTAGATGTAGGATACTCTAATCTTAAGTTTACGGTAGATAGCATGAAAGATTTATGACGTTATAGGATCTAAAGGTTAAGGTCCTCTTAAGAAAAAAAATCGGGCATTTTATTTCTAAACAAATAACATGTGATGTTTTAGACTGGGAGATTTTGAGAACCTTAAGACATACTCCCACCACTCTAAGAGGGGATTTTTTTTTAAGATTTAAGAGAAAGATATTTGATGACCAATGATGGATTGGAAAAGGACTAGAACCGCCCTGCGTCTCCTTTCCCCTTCCAACGAACGTATGACTAATGCATTGAATATAAGGCCGGAAAAGAAAGGAAAAAGAGAGTCAGTTATGCGAATCCGAGTTCCGTTATGATAGTCTTATGTGAATTTATGATACTCCTATGTAGTCTTATGTAGTTTTATGTAGTCTTATGTAGTCTTATGTAGTTTTATGTAGTCTTATGTAGTTTTATGTAGTCTTATGTGGTCTCATTATAAGTATCAGTACGTATTATGTCTTTTATGTCTTATGTTTACGTTTTCTTACGGTTACGATTACGTTATGATGAAACTTTATGTTGAGTGAATTTATGTGAAATCAAATATATGTGTATTCTAGATTTTAATCCTGACAACCTATCTTTCACAATAACCCCTTTAACCCTTATGAATAAACAGAAAGAGCATATCATTCATCTCTCTTCATCATTCATCTCTCTTCATCTCTCTCTATCTTTACATTTTTAAACCCGTGTTGCGCATATTTGATCCATAGGGCGTGTTCGGCGATTTTAAGGTRTAGGARTTGATTCGAGTGATGCGAGATGCATAATAGAGCGCCTTGTGGAGTGAGGTATAGGATGCGTTAGGCCTTGTGTACGCGTTTCACTTACATTCTGGCTAGATCAAAAAGTGTTTCGTTTTCCCTAATAAGAGRGTTACACCATATTGGCATTTTTCTAGTCAATTTAGCTTGTGCGTGCGAGTTTTGGTGAGCGGTAAGTAGAAAACCAAGAGCGAGGTTGGTGTGAGGTATGTGGGTTGATGCCTGTCAGCCAAAGAGTTGTTGTAGCCAGGCAACTACAATGAAAGATTTGAAACTGTTGACGGGCTACCAACAATGGGAAAGATGCTGATGGCCGGGGCACRACTGCTTTCCCACGTATCTATTTTAAATAGGAAAGATAGCGTCTCCGCAGTATTTTCACTGCGAGGCGGGGTTTGACGATGCGGAGCAAACCCTGATTGAGTGCTCAGCGTGGACGGATGCTAAAGGCACTCTGGTTACGGAATAAGGGAGGGGGGATGCAGCTCACGTTTCCTGGGGTGGTCAGGGCATTTCTGGCTTCTCCGGGGGCATGGGTTGCATGCATTTCAGTCTTTTTCAGGACTAGTGCTACGCCAAAAAGAGGAGAGCCGAAGAGGCGTAGGAAGTTACAGGAGAGAATGGACCGTAGGGCCAGAGTGTCGGATGTATATGTGTATGTAGGAATGGACGAATACGTGCGGAGCCGTATAGAAGAGTGGCTCCTATGCGGCCCCGTCGTGCGAGACTCCGGACAACCTTGGCGGTGCCTGGTCTGGTCTTGCTTATCTGCTTCGCCGAAAACGGATGAGTGAGCATGCTAAATGCATGGGGTGTGTGTGCCCCTAGCCAGTGCGTCATGGGACGGATAGCTGAAATATATAATAGTATAGTATAGGTTTGTTATGCCTCCGGGAAACCGTTGAGTGGTGGTGTAGGTTATTGTTATAAGTTGTATGATGTATGAGTGCGTGAATGGATGATCGCTAGGTAAACCGGCCTGGCCTATTGGGATGGGGGATTAGGTGTTTATGAATTGTGTCTTACATCACGTATCCGCGCCTCCCACTCCTTCGGTTGTATATTTAGCATGTTAGTGTCATGCACGCGGGTAGTTTTTTGTCGGTAAGAATACGACACTCCCCTAGGTACCGGGCCTAGGGGACCTATGAAAGTTTTCCACCCGACGGTATAAAAARAAAAAAAAAAGGGATAGGGACAGGCTACAACCAGAGATTTGTACCAGTACTGGCTACCAAACGTGGGGGACAAGGTTGTAGCCAAACAGGCTATCATTACGTATCTGTAGTACGTCTTCCGATAGAGAAAAGCGTGCGTCTGTAGAGAATCTACGTGTGACAAAAGGTACCTCGCGATGTAATTGCATTAATTTTTATTCATTCTTTTAGCTATTATCTCTGCTTATCATTATTTGTTCTATACTATTTTTTCCTTTTAAAAAAAAGCGTTCATTTTGCCCGGCTTTACTATGAATTTTCTGAGTTTTTATGCCGAGGCAAACTGGCTGCTCTGTACCACGTAAGACTGTCTTGATTTATTTATCTATCCTGCCCTATCTCACTAATTTCAGCATCAAAATCATAATCGAAATAACTATATTATTCTTTGATCATTTTCGGTCATATATATACATGATAAAAACAGGGCGATTACCGAACTGCATACCGACGCGAGCAAGTGTAAAAATGGAGTGATGATCTTGCTATAGAAAAAAACCGATAAGAACAAATTTCATCCTGCTTATTATTATAGTAAGAAAACCTCCGAAATAGAACAACGATTCCACACTATCAGATACATATCTTACAGATGCTACTACACGATAGTTGAACAACACACGACCCTATGAAAATAACATGATAGAAAACGATGTACTTGTAAAAAGAAAAGGCAACACGAATCTCGTAATGGTACCAAAATGTCTGGAAATTAAAGTTATAAAAAAGGTTCACGACAATAGGCACTTCGGAGTAACGAAGATGGTGAAGACCATTGAAGATGAGTTCTTGATTCTCCGTTTAGAAGATAAAAAAAGAACGGATTAGTCACGGCAATTAAGTATTTATATAATCACGTTAAATAAATCAATAAGTATACAATATATAGACATAAGCGTTAACATAGGAATTATCAACGGTAGTTTGTCAAATATGTCAAAAGTTTTGAATGATAAAAACATCAAATTTGATATTTTCGAGAGAATAACTACGCTTATTAAACAGTGACAAACACTCAAGTCGATACGTAACGAGCCAAGGTTTATAAGAAAAAAAAAAATGTTTAGAAGAAGAACGATCTAAAACAACGTTACCTACGGTAGAAGAGTTCGTGATTTTTCTACGCGAAAGAGGAAATGCTCTATTAAACTCTCGACCGAAAGAAAGGAATAGAAATATTGAATATAGAAAAAGAGAAAGGAATGTTGCGACCGGGCCTGATAGGATGCAGCTTCGTTCGAGAAGAATATTGCATAACGAGCCGCGTGCTAATAGTGCGCGAAACTGGCCGCGAAGTATCGACCGAAGAAGACAACAAACATTTCAAGCTTATTCCATTCGTACACCTATATCTCGTGTGGTATCTGTCGCGGTGAACATTTTGCGTTGGAGTGCGAGCAATTACTTCGAGCTGTACCTGAGGATCGCAGAGAAATCGTGGTTAACGCCAATCTATGTTTGAATTGCTTGCAAGCTGGTCATCGTGTTAACGCATGCAGGAAAGGCTGTTGCAGGAAGTGCAACGGCGGACATCATGAATTGTTGCATGCAAGGGAAACCGTTGCGGCAAGCGCAAACGGTGGGCACCACGAATGAATGCGTCCAAGAGGTATCGCGAGTGCAAAATGCACATGTAATTCTCAATAACTCGCAAGCACCTGCATTGTTATTAACGGCGGTGGTGCATTTGTTGGATTGCGATGGTAGGCCACACGAGTGCCGTGTACTCCTGGATTCGGGTTCCGAAGCACACTTTTTAACAATTCGGTTCGTGAAACTTTTACGGATACCCACCCAAGAGGTGGACGTAGGCGATATCGGGACTAAATAAAACTCAAATCAAGGTAAACCAGGCAATCGAAGCAACCATGCAATCGCGAACTGAAAATTACGTAATAAAATTAAAATTTTTACTGCTACCAATCATAACGAATCGGTTACCATCCCAGCGAATTCTGCAAGAAGAATTATCTATTCCAGCAGGGATTCAACTGGCGGATTCCGACTTTCATCAGCCCGCGGATGTCGACGCGATTCTCGGGATCGAAATCTTTGCTTCATTATGGCGCTCGGGTCAGACTATTTGATTAAGCGATGGTCTAATAGCGCAAAAAACAGTATTAACTTGGCTCGTGATGAACGCAGGGAACACGAGTATTCCACAAAGTGTTAGTTGCAACACCGCTACCATCGAATTACACTCGCAAATGGAAAGATTTTGAAAGATTTTGGAATATTGAGGAAATAACGGAAAATAACATTCGATCGCAAGAAGAAAACGCATGCGAAATTCATTATAATAAAAACACGCGACGTGACAAATCAGGCAGATATGTAGTGAGGTTGCCTTTTAAAGAAGAGAATCGGCAGTTAGGCGATTCGTACGCCATCCGCAAACCGGCAATGAAAGATGACTATATTAAGTTCCTAAGCGAATACGAGGAATTAGGCCATATGACCAGGACAGAAGGAACTTCCCGTGAAGAGGGATATTATTTGCCTCATCATGCGGTAGTTAAACAGACGAGTCTTACCACCAAGTTAAGAGTAGTTTTTGACGCGTCGGCGAAAACAACCAACGGGAAATCGTTAAATAATGTACTAATGGTTGGTCCAACAATACTGGACGATCTTTTCATGCTTTTAATAAGGTTCAGATCACGCGCTATCGCGATAACCGCGGACATCGCAAAAATGTACCATCAAATTATAATGGACCCACGCGATCGCGAATACCAAAGGATTCTTTGGCGTCCGAATAGGCACGAGCCCGTGAGAACTTATAAATTAAACACAGTAACTTATGGAACCGCTTCCGCGTCATTCTTAGCAGCCAGAACACTACATAAGCTCGCAAGCGATGAATTTCGGCAATATCCACAAACCTCCGTCGTTCTTAAGGAGGATTTTATGTGGACGACCTACTAACAGGAGCACATACGGTTCGCGAAGCAAAACAAATCCGCGACGAATTGATTCAACTAACTAAGAGGGCAGGCATGCACCTAAGACAATGGACTTCTAATTCCGTAGAAATATTAGAAGATTTAGATATTAGCGACAATAATGTCGTGAGCCTGGATTCGTCAGATACCATTAAAACTTTAGGTATAAATTGGAACGCGGTTGAGGATAACGTAGGATATACGGTTAAACGAGCAGACACTCAAGCAAGGATCACGAAACGTAGTATACTATCTGAAATAGCGCAATTATTTGATCCATTAGGCTTATTAGGGACCGGTAATAATTAACGCAAAAATTATAACGAAACGGTTATGGCAATTAAAATTAGCGTGGGACACAGATGTCCCCCAGCCGACATGTATAAAATGTGACAAGCGTTTCGCCAGAGTCTCCACACGCTCGAGAAGATAGGGGTTTGCGTATAACGAAGCTGCTAAAATAAAAGCATTAGAAATTCACGGTTTCTGCGACGCGAGTAAAAAGGCTTACGACGCGTATATTTACGTCAAAACAATTAGAAAAATCATAAGGTGCTATTAGTTTGCGCCAAATCTAAGGTAGCACAGCTTAAGACTCAGTCATCTCCCGCGTTTAGAACTTTGCGGCTCATTAATACTTTCGCGTCTTTTTAACGTCACGAAAAACGCGCTTTGAGTAGTAACGATTTTCGCCGTACGATATTCTAAATGGTAAAAAAAAAAAAGAGTACATAACAGTGTAAACAGGGGAAAAGAAACAATAATTGTCGTTTCCCTTTTACAGGTAAGAAGTGACTCGAACGTTCTCGATCTGGAAATGCAGAAGGAATCCCTTGTTCATGATTGGGAATTATCGAAAAGTTTCTGGAAGAAATGCCAGGAAATGATGAGAGACGATGGAGGGGAGGTAAAAACATAAATAGGCGGCGGAAGGGACCGGACGGGGCCTTCTTTGTTGATTRATACRTTCTTTGATTGATACGACGARTGTTAGGTATGAAGGGAAACGAGAAGACAACAGGGGGACGGTGAAGGGATACRAARGACGAAGATAAGTGACGAYGAGTCGAATACGGCGTGTCCTTCGCTAATTACGACGGTTGTTTTCGGGTTATGATGAAGAGTAGCACCTGATATCTATTTGTAACACGTTCTACCAGGCGCATGTTTTCGAAGTCCGTATGGACAGCGGGCTCGAGATTATCAGATGTTTATTCGTCTGGCGGCRCTTGTTTGTTTTATTATTTAGGTGTGAACCACCGGTGGTTTTKGTTTGGAATTTATTTTGAATGATGATTCCTAAAATGAATACTAAGGGTTCAGCGCGCGACGATTTGTTGCAAGTGGTAGTAGGTTCGCCAAAAAATTTGAATAGGCTAAATAATTCAATGGTGAAACAAGTCGAATGAGTTCATTCTTGTAAATTAAAAATCCCATAATTTTGTAAAATGTGTACCACTTAACGTTTCTCTTGTAAATTAAACAACAACGTTACCTTCRTTATACTTGATTCGAACAAAAAAACAAAAATTAGTACGATATTTGRAAATTTGCAAAAATTTGTACAACTCAATGATTTTCTTCGAAAAATTCACGAATTTTTCATGTATACACCGTTCGACTAATGTTTCGAAAAATTGAAAAGAACTATATGAAAAATCATATACATTCTCTGCGCACCCAAAATCTTAATCATTTTCCCTACATGTTCCCTACATGTCTTTGTTTAGGTACAATGTACGTGTACAGGCAATTGCAGAACATCACGGTGTATCTGCAGAAAAAGTGGGCWATACTTTGCAGTAAACTCTGTAAAAACTGCGAAGATAATTTCTGCGCAAATTTTTAAATCACTATATATATTGTTAGAATATAGGAAATCAACACAGCCTGGAAGCGTGCAGTACATCACCACAGGACGGTCWACATAAAACACGTGAGTTTTGAGCAATACTTTTTATCGAGTCACCAGTTTGTGTAATACTTCCTTCTCTCTTATCTCTCCCGAATCGTGCCTTTTTATTGTGAAAATGCATTCCTCAATGAGCGAAATTAGTGAAGCKAAACTTATACGTAGACGCGCAGTACTAAAAAGTAAATTAACCAGTTTTAAGAAACTCATCAATGGTTTAGACAATCCTAATCAGGATGATATATCAATGGTGTCACGTCCTAGTGACGACTCTGAATAGCAGGGCGTACTATCCAATGTAAATTCAATAGTTGCGATTTATTTTCCTGTCATATTATAATTT